GAAAATTACTGCCGAATTATTGATAATGACTGCGTAGTTGAAAACTGCAGCAATTCTTACTGCTAAATTAAGCTGCAGATCGACTGAAGCAGATGATAAATAGTGATCAGTATGTGAATTATCAAGATATTAAAAGTAAAGTTCCCTATATACCAAGTAAGACCAAGAAGTTGGCAATAAAATAATATATTCCCAAATTATACTCTCTTTTAAAAACTCTACTATAGTCAAGTGAGAGTGCGCTAAGTAGAATGGTCTTACATCGTCTTTTAGCTCGAAAGTCCATAAATTTACCCATACATTAAATATGCTGTAGCTTGTGTTAAATATATATTTAAATAGTTAGCTTTTCTGCATTTTCAAATCTAAATTTGAGTTAAAAAAAAACTACAATGTGATTTATCTGTGGCTATAATTTGTGTACTTGCATTGGTTTTAAAATTAAAAATTCCAATTTGTTAAATCAATCGAAAAATATCGATATCATCAAAGTGGGGTATATACTGTTGCTTAGTGTTGTTGTTGTGCATTAATTAATAGTATTAACTCAAATTTGAGCAGGCATTAGAAAGTCTTTTTGCCAGCGCCGAGCCCATTGGGGTACAGTTGACTCAGTTTTGGTGGCGTTGCCTAATCGGCCTCATGCATTTATGCATACGTTGGGGCCGTCACGCACTTAATGAGCCTCCGCGGCGACTGTACCTGCGACTTCGGGCGCTGGCGACAACAAATTGGCGCATTTAATAATCATTTACTGTGTGTTTTGTGGCCGCTAATTTCTTGCAGGCGTTGTGCGCGCACTTTCAAAATTGTCCTCAGCCATAGAGCGTGGCAGTGCAAGGGAGACAGACAGATGCACGCATGCGTGCAGGCCCCCACGGCGTTGCCATATCGCGCGTTCGCTGGGCGTCACTTGCCATTGGTGTCGATCTTAGTGTTGGTGTTGGTGTTGCCGTTGCCGTTGCCGTCGCAGTTTGCCATTGCTGTTTGTCGTTTGTCGTTTGTCGTTGCCGTTGCCATTGCTGTCGTCGACGTCGCGTAATTTACATTAATTGGCGCTCGGCGTCGTACATATAAATTTTTTGCGAGCTTAAACTTTAATTTCATGCGTACCATTTGATTTTAGCTGTTTGCTGTCGCTGTAGTTGCCACTATGAGCGCAAATTATAGGAAAGTGTGACGACAACGCAACGTCCAAGGCGCAAGCTGGCTGCAGACTTTTAGTGAGCAGTGTCTGCGGTGCAAGTATTGGGGCGTTTTGGTGGGCTCATTTTGGGAATGGTTATGTGGAGTTGCCATGAATACTGCGGCGCATATTTAGGCATCTAGTTATAGGTCTTTATAATACAGCTTGCGGCATTCAAATGGCCCGTCTGGTACATTCTCTTCACAAAACTATATGGTTAATCGAGTTTGTGGGCTTGAAAGCGTGATTTAAGTGGATTTACATTTTTGTACGATAACAATTGTTGTGTAACATCATTCTATATATGTAGATATACGAGATTATATGTTGATTGAATTTTTAATCATTCATGTTTTTGTAACTTTCCATTTTTGATCGACAATTCAATTTTTCTTAAGCACTTCGATTGAAATAAAAGATTAAAAGAAACTGTTTTCTATCTGAATTTTCTTTTTATAGTTTATTCTTTTTACACAATAATTAATTGCTGCTATATTAATTTGTTTTGGGTCTATTAATACTCTCTTTGGACAGTTTGTAGCACATTGTTATCTAGTTTAATTAGACTTGCTTTCAATTGGCTCGGTATTTAACAATCTTTTTTTTAAGTTTTTAATCTAACGCTCTAGCTTGTTCTTGATATCTTTCGAGCGCGTACCTATTCTCTTGCCTATCGATAGCCTTAGCTTAATATCGGCTATCGATTACTCGCAGGGGTATTCCTACAACATACTAAATATTCTCGGTGTAGTACAGTTTGTGTTCAGCATCTCGTTTAATTAATTAACACACTTTCACAGCACATTTCTTTCTGGCGACAATTTTCGTTGACGTCAATTTTATTCGTTGCTGCTGTTGTTGTGCTCATTTTACAATATCATCAGGTCAAATCTCAATTAACAAATATAACGATTTTGCTGTTGCTTTCTCGCTTTCTTCTCGGCACATTCGCCATTTTGTGAATACTGTTGCAATTTTTTCTAGCTTAACAAACAATTAAAAATATTAATAGAAATTTATTTCAATTGAAATCAAAAATTTCTCTGCATTAGCCGAGTGCTCCAGTTGCGAGCAACATATTTGCATGCGAGTTCAAAATATGAACCGTCGCTCATTGCCCGCCATTTCCTCGTAAGCATTTTCATAATTTCCCTTAGCCCAGATGGCTCCTAAGCCATACATACTCGTACTTGCTCCGTGGGGGCCCATTAGCAACAGCAAAAACTCAAAGCTTAATTAAAAGCCAGAGCACAATCGACTTGTAATCAGCTTATATGCCAGTCAATTTATAGTTAGCTTGATTATGACCGGCTAACTCCATAAGCAAATGACATCGCTCTGAGTCACGCTTAAAGCCTTGCAGTACGTGTACAACAAGTGCTTGACTACGACATACTCCGAGTTCGACGTTCGAAGCTAACGTTAATCTAATGGAATATATGTATACATATTACATTCTCATATACACGAGTGCCCGGCTTAACATTTATGTCTGCTTTTGTCATTTTCAAATAAACTTTTTCAGTGTTGGAAAACTCTCCATGCTACAATAGAGTGCCTTAAGGTTGTAGTTCAAAAATGCCTCTCGAGAAGATATTTTTATGCTTCAAAATAATTGTGAATAATTTTTATCAAATATTGTGATTCAAAAAATAAAAAATTCTATAATTTTTATTAAAATAAGTGCTCTCTCGCTTGTTACGAACAGGTTCTCAATTTACATATACCCTTCTCTGACGCTTCCTGCGTGCAGGGTATAGAAATGTCGCGTAACCTGCAACCTGCCATAATTATGACGTAGTTAGAGCTACGGGGTTTGGGCTAGTTGCCGTTGCAGCGGAGGGCTTGGGGGCGGCCTTAATGGCACACATATGTAGTCATTGTTCTGATGCGGGCAAGCGATGCATTAAGTTGATTTTAATAAGCGCTGCCAGCTGCAAAAAGTAAATAAATAATTATAATAAATAAATAATAAATAATTGTTAGCTGCTAGCACAACAACAATAACAATAACAACAACAACAACAACAACAATTGCCGTTCGCTAGGTACAGTCGCTTAAAAATGCATCGATTGCCGTCTCGCTTGCACTTGTGCTAATTACCATGACTAAGGGGAAGCTAATTATTATTACTGCACTTACTAATGCAACGAGCCGAGTTACCAAGTGCCCAGTTACTGGCCCCTCTACAGCCCACAATGCCCTACTTAATCGCAGCTTATTAAGCGATTTAAAGACGCCATTTCAATGCAACTTTGTTCACGATCCATTAAACGATGTCCGTCTTCCCGCCCGTCGCTCTTTCTATCTTTCTGTCTGTCTGTCTGTCTGTCTATATGTCTGTCCGTGCATGTGCATTCAGCTCATTATAGGCACAAGTCCGGCGCGTTTAGGTGTCCAGGAAGGGGGCCTAAAACTGCCCGTGCTTGCAGTCATACGTGTATGTAAATAATAATTGTATTTAATATATAATCGATAATTATCACTGATCGATTAATTGCACACAACTTTGCTTTTTTCCTTCTTTTATTGCACATTGCAATGTTTTATTGCGTTCCTAATGGCTTTTTGGGGGTCTGGGCTAATGAGTCAAACGCACTTGGGGCCTATATGAGTGGAACACAAAATAAAGTCAAGCTTTTGGTGCATCTCCAAATCTGAGCTTGTGTAATGGGTTTTTTTGTTGTGTCTTTGTTGAACATCTAATCAGCATTTATGGACGCCCCATCTACGCAGACATCTGCCTCACCAATGCTAGTGAGTTAATCGATTCGAAATTCGATTACCATAACACTTTCAAGCCAGTCGGCCGCGCAGTTTTTGCAATCAACCCAAAAACTCTTTACAACCCCATGGACATAGAGAGAGCAACCCTTGACTGGTCTGCCTGGAATGCCTGTTCCTGTCCATGTGTCCATGTGTACCCCGCGGCTAAATACTAATTATAATCGCGTATCGCCTGTGCCAAAGCTCCAATAAACCTTTGTCAAGCGGCCCTCGCTAAGCTCCGAGTTCCAATGTTTCAGAGCTCTACGGTTGCCCGTTCTTATGGCTGCCATTAACGGCCCACACTGCCCGGCTACTGCGATCCGAACATGCCAGGCGGCATTTGCATTAATTTTGCAATGCTCGAACAAAAAAAGAAAGAAATTTCCATAATGAGCACGTACACAATCACTTACCCCGGACTTGGCCTCAGACCCTCAGATTTGGGTACATGCAACTTGCAAAAGGGTTTCGCATAATTCTTATTGTGCCCGGCGAAAGGGGTTGCAAAAATTTTTATAATTAGTTGGCCGTTGCCCGATGCCCGTTGCCCGGCACCAAATGCAATCCAGGCCCAGCAGCAGGTTTTACATATATTTTCCGACTCTTTTTCTACGTTTTTTTGCCAAATATTTAGACGTTGATTATTGCGCCCTAACCCGAAGCCCGTGCTAAAAACGCGACTCTGGGCAAACGATTTTGGTGCGTGCTCAATTGGGGAGTTTTCTGGCCGGGGCTCGTCGAGAACCCCGCCCACAAGCCCACAAGCCCACATGCCATTTCTTTTGTTTTTCGCTAATTTAGCAAAATTATGTTTTGTGCTCTCATGTCGTGTGCGTTTCGTGTTGCAGTCGTTCATTTCCAAAACCCTCCCCCCAAATATTGTTATACAACTGCAACACGAATGGGACATGCAATTTTCGACCTATGGCTATGCCCTTTCACATACCCTTGTGCAGCGAGAGTACGCATATTTTCTTAGATGATCTGAGGTACATGCTCGTCGTGAGAACTTAATTTTAGACATTTCCATTGAAGAATGAACAGTATTGTCGAAGATATTTAATACTATCTATATGTTTTACACTGACCAAATAATCCCTCCTGATGGAAAAGTTCAAAATTTTAGTTTCAGGTGTGAAAATTTGTAGAAAACATCTCACCTTAGAAATTGGTAAAGTGGGAGTCACATCAGCATCAAATAGCATATCTTTTATTTGACGAAAATTTACGCCTGCACAAAGCCAAATAATATTTTGATTTAATTTATATATATATATTTTATAGAATTTTTGTAATTTTTATAACTGAACTAGCTTCTCATGTCAATTTATTTGAGATATTTAACTATTTACTTTTCCAAAGGGTATTAAATAGTCCAAATATCATGTCGGAGCCCTTTATTCTTTTCATTTTTTTTTTCATTATTTCCCTTCTAAATGAATTAAAATTGCCAAATATGGGCGGGTTTGGCAAGAAGGAGGCTTGCTTTTTAATGCAAATACAAAATGCGAATAACTCATTACGAGCCGCATTAAGGACAGCGTGTATGAATGGGTGTGTGTTTGTGTATGTGAATGTGAGTTTTTGGGTGTGTGTGTGTGTGTGCAGGACACACGCTATGAGAGGGCTGCTTTTGAGCCTCATCCTGTTCGGGTCTGGTCTGACTTAACTTGGCCTGCTCTGGCCTGGCATGACTTTGACTTCCTCTCGGCTGAGCTCTCTCTCTCTCTCTCTCTGGGGGCGTATGACTGTTCGGCTTGCACATGTTTATTGTTGTTATTGTTGTATTGAGTACGCCTCCGGTATTGTTGCTGCTGCTGTTGCTGTTTGTTGTTGTGTTTGTTGTTGTGTTTGTTGTATTTGTTGTGTTATTGGCAGCGCCTAGTGCGTGCTCAGTTCGAATCACGCAAATTTCATTATTATTATTTTTAATGATTTGAGTGGAAAAAGTCGACAGCAACAAAAAAAAGAAAAATAAACGAATATATAACAAAATACAACAACGAACAAAGCAAAACAAGTAAACACCCAGTTAAATAGTCCACTGACCGGATTGCAATGCATTTTGTTTGCATTAAGTGAGGGTCGAGGGTCGTGAGGGGCTCAGTGGATCACGTATAAAATGTAATGTAATGGCCCGTGCCATGCGTTTGATAATGCTCTCTCTCTCTCTCTCTCTCTCTCTGTATCTCTCTCTCTCTTCATTTGTCCTAAGGTTATTTAGACTGAGTTAATAGGAAACGAGTTTTTACCGGCTTATATAAAATAATTTCTAGTCCCAACACAGAAAACTGTTTTCTAAAACCAGATATATATAGAATGAACAAATGGTTTAAATTATCAATTATCAAAGAAACAATATTAATCAAACGAAAGAGTAAGTGCAGGGTATACAAGTTTCTTGTAAATGTATATAGAATCAGCCCCTACTTACATATTATCGATAAATATCGATTTCAATATAGAGTTACTTAGCTTTGAAGAGCTGGGGACACCATATTTTAGATATACGCAACAAATGTAGATGCATTAATGGAGCCTTCTAAGCCAAACTAACTTAATTATTTGAATTAAACAATTTGGGTTTACTTAAAAGATTTTTGAAATTCTTAACTTTACATTTATAATTAAAACATTTTCCTACTTTTCTTAAATATATATTTTGCTTCTCATGTTTGATCTACTTATATCGCATAGCTTTCAGCCAACGCACACTTGAGTCTTTGTAATCCGTTTAGCAGTGCACCCTCCAAACTTTATGGCTCTGACTCAATTTGGAAAACTACAAGCTCTGCTCGTGCTTTCATTACCAACGCCCACCTTATTCCCATACACCCATCACGCCCTCATACCATTCTATCTACTTTACATAATGTTCCACCTTAACGGTTGTATTTCATGTGTAATCGTGTGTAATTTTTAAGAAAATTGCACGTTTACTCACACACACACACACACACACACACACACACACTCGTGCCAGTGCATGAACATCCCCGACAACAACAACCCTAAAACAATGCAATGGCCAACAACAACTCAGCCAGAAAACTTTTTAGCTCACGTGTGTTCGGGTGTGTGTGCGCGAGTGTGTGTGTGTTATTGTCTGTGTGTGTGCGTAAGTAAATGTTGCATAAATAATTTTAACTGAATGACTTAATGTTGTGCTGGCCACCCTGTGGTATGGGACGCATTATTGATTATTTTTCAGGCCGACACTCGGAAAGTTTAGCTGCCAAAAAGTTGCACCGAGGCCGGCCCGCCCCCTTCCCGCTCGCCGGCCAGATACGCAGGCTTAAAGAAGTCGCCATTCGCTTGGCATTTAATGTGCATTCTGTGCTAATTACAAATCAAAAGGCAATTTAATAGCCTGCGGCATAAATTGGAGTTTGGCTCAAGCCGGACGCTGTTTTCCAATCAGAAATTGCTTTGTGCCACATTTGAAGCGATACCTCCGAATGGATGGCAGAATGTGCTACAATTTAGTTTGACTATTAATTACAACAAGTGGCAGCAGCAGCCATGGCAGCAACATGTTCAGCATGTTGCAGCTATGCAAAATTATTGATGATTTTATTAATTTGAATATTGGCGAGCAACTGCCGCTCCGGACCGCTCTCGAATGGGGCATGACAAAACGCTGGCCAAGACATTGGCCGGTCGAGTGTCTCAAATGATAAATTTTTAGCAATAGAAAGTTGCATGGAGATTGCAATTTATAGCTAGATTTTACAGCAGCAACATGTTGCAAGCGCGTTGCGGCAACAAAATGAGTATAATTAGACCGGTTTGTAATGCGTTATGTGCGATAGGCCGGCGCATGTTGCAGATGTTGCATGTTGCTGCTGCTTACAAAAAAAAAAAAAAACACAACAACAAACACACACCAGCAGTTGATTTGAATTATAGCTGCCCGGCCATAGCGATAATTAATCGTGCTATTTAGTGTGCTACATGAAATTCTACCAGTTTGTCGGTTATTGATTAGATTTGCAGCAGCATAGTTGCTGCTGTTGCTGCTGCTGCTGCAGGAAGCGCTGTTGCATGCTGCATGTTGCTGCTCGCCTGTGCAATTTAGACAGAGTTTTAATATGCGCAAATTGTACTTAATTTGGCTGGCATATTTTGTCGCTGCAATTTTCCGTATTTACGGCTAACTTTCACAACATGTTGCCAAGGTGCAGCAGCAACAATTGCTCATTAAGCCTCAGTTCAGCCATCTCGCTCGCACGCGCCTATACACTGAACCTATCAAATTATATTCTTGTCATGTCACCTAAGTAGTTACCATAACTTTTCTCTCTCTGTAGAAATTATTTTGGTGTTGCTTCTGCTGCTGTGCATTCGTGTGTTGCTTTGTTTTGCATTGTTTGCTGCTTATGCATATGCCACATGCCTCGAACCGGGTGGGTGGCTCTTAGCCCATGCCAGCAGTTGGCTACGACCAGGACCCAGACATTTGCATGCAATGTACAAAATTAATTATTACTCCTTCTCTGGCCGATGCGAGTGCCCTGTGCTTCGGCTCCTCGTGCTGTCCACTTCCTGTCCAAAATCTACAATACAACGTCTGCTGCCCTGACTCGGGCATTACATGTCCTGCACACAACTTGCAAGGCATCGTCCTCGCCAGCCCGCCAGCCCACCTCACCCAGCTTGTGGCTCATTATGACCAACGACGTCGGCGACGTGGCCGGAAAAGTGCGTTCGTTGACTGCTGCCGGCTGCCCAGCGTCGTCTGTGACTCGGACTCCCGACTCTGACACCAGCTCCGACTCGGACTCCTTCTCTGAGTGCAGTTGCTGTTGTTGTTGATGGCGTTGGTTATGGCGGCTTTGCATTATTACAACTGCAGACAGTTGTAGGCGAGTTGCCTGCATAGTTGCCGACAACAACAACAACTGCAACAACAGAAACTCAAACACACACACACACACAAACACTCAGACTCAGTGGCATACACATGCACATCCATTTGCATTATGCATTAAAATCAACGCCCGTTTTGTGTACCGAAGCCGAAGACAGGAACAACACATCCAGAATCGTAGCCCGACTTTCGCATTTAGTGTTCGATTTTCGACCAGGCGCCTCTATGCGAGTAACACGCATTTTGTGAGTGTGTGCGTGCGGCTGAGTTGAACACAAATGTCAAGGTATGGAAGCAAATGATTTGGGCATACTTTGCTGGTTGCCTTCATTTAGGCGCCTTTACTTGGCTCAGTCAATTTGCAGCTTACCCCTTGAAGCATAAAAGGCTTAAACTAGACATCAATTTGATGCAGAAATCTTTTTGAAATCTTGTCAAATGATGCAAGTACGAGGCACAGTAGCTTTTAAAATTATGTTAAGATTAACTTTCGTCGAATTTATTTTTGAGTATTTTATTGACTAATTTAATATTTTCTACTTATTTTAAAAGTATTCTGTTGTACTAGTATTTGACTCTTTTCATTAACTAAATTTCTATTTTAATTTATATAGTTATAAGTATTTTTGATCAACTAAGTCTTGTCTTATAAAATTAAGAGAGTATTTTTCATAAGATTTCCCTATGGCCTGAAGGATTAAGCACATCCCTCCATGATTTATGAAAAAAGTTTCTCTTATATACACAAAAGACTTTCGCATTTATATAGCTCGAAACATATGTATGTATAACAAAAACTTTCTTGCCAGACGTGACTCATACCCTTTTCAGAGTCTGGGCCCCGTACCGCCAGGCATATAAATTATAATGCGGAGTAGGTGTAAAATTTTCGATTACGACAGGCGGCGGGCAGCCCTAACCACCGGCCGGAAGCCACACTGCGCTGCTGTAGCTACTTTGCGAATCTCCCTCTTCCACGGCGGAGTCATTGTCCAGGGCAGGTCGTCGTGGCTTGCAAGGACATGCACAGGACTCGGACTCGAGGCAACGTTTTGCATTTGCAAAATTATGCGGCATGTGTGCGACGCTTCCCACACCAAAGGCCCGACTCCCCCTTTTCCGTTTCCCCCTTGCCGCTGAAGCTGCTTTTGGCTTTTGTTATTTTGTTTGTTGCTTTTGCTGTGTTGCTGTGGTCAACCGGATGGCAACAGGGATAATTAATGAAATTAATGCGCTTGGGCATGAGTTTTAAGTGCACGAAATATATTCGATAAATGTAAATTCTAAATTATGAGCCGTAGCAGGCAAAAGGCACAGGTACAGTCACCATTTAGCCAAATGCCAGTCGATAGGGTTGTTTGCATAACCGGCTGCATTTTAATGGCAATTAACTTTCGTATTGCTGCATACCTTAGACACATTG